TTTTGGCCAATTCCAGAATTCACACACGATGGCTCCACCGTGCTCCGGCAACAGCGCCACCACTTGCGACGGTCGTCCACCTCGGGTCAGTTATTTTCGACCAATTTTGCATCAATCACTGTGAGAAAATATGTTAAGAGCCCTCGGTTGGCCAAAAAGAATACAAAAAACTGAAACTCACCTGCGGCGGGGCTCTCCAGTACGACGGCTCCTCCGGCTCACGTTGCGGTTGGGTGTTTTGCTCCAGTCAACCTATAAAGAAGGAAACGGTGATCACAATGGTGAAAAAATTTTACCGAACGGGAATCGGAAAGGGCTTCATCGGAGGTGTTTTGTAAAATTCTCTGCAACGGCTCTGCCGGACTTCACCCGCAGTTTCCAGCAAATCAACTTGTCCTCTTGCTTCGATTTGACAATGAGAGTGTTTAAAATTGAATTCTAAGTAAAAAGAAATTTTTTTACCTCTTTTGGCGACTAAAAGTAGCTCCGGCGCGGCGTCGGATTGCGACAGCTCTCCTTCCTGGCGATTGGGTCTTCTTCTCCGGTGAGGGCGACTGGCGGCTAAGGTTAGAGTTTGGTATGAAGAGAGTTATTTATACCTGTCCGCTTTTGATTTCGGTCGTCCATTGTATTTGATCTAAATCATCCGATCGGGATTAACTAGAAAGTAAATCTGGACCGTTCATCGCGATCCAATCTAGACCGTTCATCGCGATCTAAACTGGACCGTCCATCGCATTCAAATCTGACCATCTGATCGCGTTTGGGGGGGGGGGAATGCATCTGGGTCGTTCGTGCACGTAGATCGTCCGCGTGAGTTTCCGAGTGGCACCACGCCAATGTCCGCTGCCACGTGGCGCGTTCTGGTTTGTCGAGGCTGCTGACCGGATATCCTACGTGGCAAAACTTTTTTAAATTGCATTCTGACCCCTAATTTCTGATTTTTTTTTTCAAAAACACCATTAGAACCCAAATTTTCACTTATTTTTCTTAAAATTATTTTCAATTTCATCCCCCACCAAATTTACTATATTTTTGCATTAAATTAGAATTAAAAAATTATATTTACAATTAAATTAATTTGGGCATTACAAAGCTTGGGTCAAAAGAGAATCATTGAAAAATGAACTAATTTAGTCTCTTATTTTTTTTTTCACCTTATTAGTAAATTTTTCATTTTATATATTCAATATATCACATTAGAAATTATTTTATACAATAGATCTTAACTATTTATATAAAGTTTTATCTCTTAATTAATCTTTCTTATAGTTAGATATAATAAGGATTAGGTCTTTATTACCTAACCAAACTCGAGTGAAAATGATAACTCTAAAATTAAATCCATGAGAGAATTTCTCAGTTTTCGCATGCATGGTATAAGTAAATACATTTATATATATAATAAGGTCAAGAACCTAAACATATTCTTACGAAGACTCGTAAATTTCATCAATACGTCAACTTCGAGAGAGTTATATTTTTGTTCGAAATAAATAAATAATTAAATTATTTTATTTTATTTTCAACACGCAACAATAATTATGAAAAGTAAAAGCATTTATTATGAGCTTTGTAAACTCTTTTTTGCATATTAGGTTTCTTAGTATTGCTTTTCTACTTGTTCAATTTAATCATAATCATTTCTAATTGTTAAAGTTATATGCATGAACCTTTATAACTGCACCTACATGTAGTTTATCAAATTATTAGATACTTGAAATAAACACACATACATATATACAAGAGAACATTGTTAGTTCTTTTTTTTTTTCTAAGAACAAATTAACTTACATACAATATAATATATATATATATATATATATATATATAGTCGGGCCAAATGCTTAAACATATTCTTAGAAAGTCTCCCAAATTTTATCAACATCTCAACTTCAAGATCATTTTTTTTTGCTCAAGATAAATAAATAATTAATTAAATTATTTCACTTTTCACACAACAAGAACAGTGAAATGTGAAATGTGAAAAGTAAAAACATTTATTATGAGCTTTTGGATATTAGGTTCCTTACTGTGAATTTTCTACTTATTCAATGTGATTATAATTATTTTCAATTGTTAAAAGTACATGCATGAACCTTTAGAACTGCATCTACATGCAATTTATCAAATTATTAGATACTTGAAGTAAACATATATATATATATATGTGTGTGTGTGTGTGTGTGTGTGTGTATATACACATATGCAGGAGAAAATTGTTGGGTTTTCAAGAGAAAATTGTTGGGTTTTTTTTTTTTTTAAGAACAAATTTATTTATATACAATACAATATATAGATACATATATATATAGTAAGGTCAAGTGGCTAAATATATTTTTACAAAGTCTTTTAAATTTCATCAATATGCCAACTTTAAGAGAGCTGTTTTTTTTTTTTTCTCAAAATAAATAATTAGTTAAATTGTTTCACTTTTCACAGAGTAATTATTATGAGCTCTGTAAACTATTTTGCATATTTAGGGTTCTTGCTGTGATTTTTCTACACGTTCAATTAATAGTAATTATTTGAACTGTCAAAGGTGCATGCATGAACCTTCAGAACTGCACCTACATGCAGTTTATCGAATTATTAGATATTTAAAATAAACACATATGTATATATATGTGCGTACATATATGTAAGAGGACATTTTTTTTTTTTGTTTTTCTTCTCAGGAACAAATTAATTTCCATACAATACATTACTTATAGTAAGGATAAGTGCCTAAACATATTCTTGGAAGGTATATATGCATGCACCAACATGCAATTTATCGAGTTATTAGATACATATAATAAACACAATATATGTGTCTGCACATATGCAAGATAACATATGTGGATTTGTTTCTAAGAAGAAATTAATGTTTTACATACAGTATAATATGTATGTATATATATATATATATATATATATATATAGTAAGGTCAAATATCTAAATATATTCTTATAAAGTCTTCTAAATTTTATCAGTATGCCAACTTCATGAGAGCTGTTTTTTTAACTCAAAATAAATAATTAATTAAATTATTTCAACTTTTCACACAATAATTATAGTGAAAAGCTATATTTCCAATATATCTACTAAAAGCTAACATTTTATTTAATAATATGTAAATAAAATCTATTTAATAATAATTTTACATCAGTAATTTAAATTACCAATTTGCTTGTAAATAAATATATATATGTATATATTTCTAAAGTAAATTATAAAATATCCAAAAGGCTAAATAAATCATAATCAAGAAAATGTTTTTGTAAATATAAGGGATATTAACTTGGATTTCATATACTATTTTTGTAAATAAAAAATGCAAGGACAAAATTACCCCCTACATTTTCAGAAAATCCCTATATAACCTCTCCCTCTCTCTCTCTCTCTCGCTCCCGCTCCCATCATGTGGACGAGAGAGTAGAAGCTCTTAAAGCACCTGGTTTGTTGTTTGTCGTCATCAGTCACCTAAACTCAACAATGGCAGCCACAGAACCTACTGCTCCGCCAACCGCCACACCGGAACCCAACAATGTGCCGGAGAAGGCGCCAGTCGACCACTCTTTATTCTCTAGAATCCGACTGGCGACGCCGGCCGATGTGCCTTTTATCCACAAGCTAATCCACCAGATGGCTGTCTTTGAGCACCTCACCCATCAATTCTCCGCCACTGAATCCTCCCTCTCCGCCACCCTCTTCAACTCTCCTCCTTTCCAATCCTTCACCATCTTCCTCCTCGAGCTCTCCTCCTCCCCTTTCCCTTCTCTTCCCTCTCCTTCCCCTCACTTCCCTCCACTCCATCGCGTCATCAACCTTGATCTCCCCATCGATGACCCAGAGAGGACTGACTTCCTCTCCGATTCTCTCGGCGACGCCGTCGTTGCTGGATACGTGCTCTTCTTCCCCAATTACTCTACCTTCGTGAGCAAGCCTGGGTTCTACGTGGAGGACCTGTTCGTGAGGGAATGTTACAGGAGGAAAGGGATGGGGAAGATGCTTCTAACGGCGGTGGCCAAACAGGCGGTGAAGATGAATTACAGCAAGGTTGGATGGGCTGTTCTTGATTGGAATGTGAAGGCCATTAATTTCTATGAGCTGATGGGCGCTGAGGCGTTGCCGGAATGGAGGATTTGCAGGTTGACTGGTGAGGATCTCCAGGCTTATGAGAATGCTAAGATCTAAGAAAACTCAAACTTGAAGTAGGATTTAAGAATCCCGGGTTTATTAACATTTGAGGAATCAAACGCAGGGCTGAAGTATGATTTTATTAGGGTTATGGGGTTTTCTTCTTTTCTCTGGGAAAATCTGAATGTGTTTGGATGCATTTTGGGGACAGATTAAAACTGGGTAAGTAATAAGATTATGTTGTCTGTTGAAGCTGATCTTGATCAGTAGTATTTCTGTTTTCTGCTAATAGTAATTGTAAAATCAGACTCTTTTAACATGAAATCAAATGCCCCGGCTGGAAAGTCTTTCTTTTTATTATCTGAATTTTGGCTTTTATCTGTTCTGCTACTGAATTTGCACTCCCTTTGATCTGGGTTTTTCTGGGTTTCGTGGTGTTGAATAATTGCTAGCAAAAATCAATTTGGATTTCACTTTGATTAGGCGTTAAGCCAAGAAGCAAGATCAGAAAGGACTCCAACTTTGTTGCCTTATATACTCGTTGAAATTACTATTGATATTTATTTATTTGGAATAACAAACACCAGTCTTAAAACATTCCAAGAATTAAACTATCAATCTAGTCTTGTCAAAATATGAACTAGTATTGGCATCTATCTTGGGGAAGAAATTTTAAGTTGAATGAACATGTTAAAATTTGAGTTGGCTTTAGACAATTGCGACTTGGTTTGCTTAGAATATATTATCTAAGATAAAGTTCTTGTATCTTTTTTACTTATCTTCGATGGATTACGGTGACGGTAAAACAATAGAATTTGTAAATAATTCATGTATGATTATTCTTCTATATTCAAAGGCAATATGAAAGTACAATTACGTCACATAAAAGAAAATCAAAATTATTATATAAAAAAATCAACTGGTTAAGTTCTTATAATTATGATACTAATCTAATAATTTACAGTACTAATCTAACAATTAATCTGATAATTTATAATATTAATTTAGTAATTTACAACTCATGTCAATACTCTTCTTCGAGTTGGAGCATAAAAATCTATTATGCCCAACTTGTTTGTCATTTTCGAGGATCTGTTTTTAGTAACTACTTTGGTGAGATATTAACTAATTAATTTTCATATTTGACAAAGGAAAAAGGTATGATTTTTTTATCTAACTTTTCTTTGATGAAGTGTCTATCAATCTCAACATGTTTAGTACGATCATGTTGTATAGGATTTTATGCAATTTCGATAACAGTTGTGTTGTCACAATAAAGACTCATAGGTTTCTCATATTTAATTTCTAAATGTAACATCCTGAACCCCAATGTCGGTAGGTACGGACGTTAGCACAATATTTTCAACCATTAAATAGATAAATATTAAATATTTAGTTGAACTATACTTTATACATATTTCTTGTGACTGGATAACAAATAATTGAGGCATTTAAATTAATTTATGATATTAAAAATAAAAACTAATGAAGTTTTCTTCGTCATCTTCCTTTGATCTTTGACTTCCTCTAACTTGGATATGGGTGAATTGGGGTGAGATTCACGAGTTCAGTAAGAAAAATAATTATATAATGGAAACTTACGTACATACGTTCACGCAATATGTAAAATATAATAATACTTAAAATCAAAAAAGTATCAAACAAAACATTATAATCAAAATACACAATAAAATAAATAATCACACGAAACATATTCTAATTCTTACTCTTATAACTTCAATCTTGTTCTTATTTCAAATTAAACTTATACTCGAAATATTACAATACACTCGAAATATCACATTTAAAATTTTATCATGCGATACCGTTTATATCGTCATTGAGGAAAAGCGAAATGGATCCTCTCATCGCATGGATAACACACACGCACAAATCTCACAATGGCCGCCGCAGATATGTTTGGTAGGTGACCCACACTCACAAACATCTATCAACGTCTAGATTAGGTTTCAAACTCTATCATGTGCAGGTTCACCATACCCGCTGAACTTCAGCCACACACGCACCCTCACCTCATCGATTCAGACTAAACGAGTAGGTATTCAAGATTCTTATACTCTACACTCTTTTCAAATATTTTTCATTTCTAATTCACTTATTTCCTACATAAGATCTTAATTTCTATACATAATTAAACACAAACATACACACAAAATGCACAATATCATCACGCACATTAGAGTTATACATTTCAAACCACTTTCTGAATCATCTTGTACCATATCACATAGCAAGCACAAGATACTCAGATTCCTCGCGCAACTGTACCAATTACACAACAAGTATAGTGCACTGTATATCTACACCAAATCACACAACCAGTGCATGTACCTAAATTTTACACGTACATACACTGATTATACATTTCACATGCATGACATATGTATACACATTTTAATACAGACATATATTACAATACAGACATGTACCATCATTAAATGTCTCACACAGAATATATATTTATATTTACACACATAATCTCTACTGATATATACACACATGTTCATACTTAAATACGTATACACCATCACATACAACATATCATATATATATATATATATATATATTCACGTATTTGTTTTTATTAGTGTTATTCTTATCAAATCTGTCATTTTCAATTTATATCACATTCATCGTATATTTTTATATATTTACACACACATGCGTAACAACATCTATATATACACACAACATAAATACAAACAAATATAAATTAGACATGTTAATAATATTTCTATTATACTACAAATATATTTAAACATTTACACACAATGTACTATACATAATACATTTACATAAACATATAATTTATATCTCCATAAGAAATACACATAATTCTTACCTATGATGTGATCGAGAAAGCTTTAGGAATCTTTTCTGACTCGATCTAAGGTTCTCTCGAAAATTCGAATACCTTTTAAATAATTTTCTACGTGTATAATAAACAACACATATATTAAATTATAAATAATTTTAGAAACTATATTACGTGATATGAGGAACAGATTTTACCTTGGGACATGCGGTCCAAGTCGCCAATGTTACCATGCGTCATCATACGCGTGTCATTGGAAATGTCAGGCGCTGATGATCATATCAGTGCGCATTATTGCATGCGACGCACCAATAACATATTGGTCGCCACACTACTATTTTTCTTCCTTAATTTAATTTTATTTTTTTATTCCTTTTTTTTCTCTTTTTTTTTTCTTTTTTTTCTTTTTTTTTTCCTTTTCTTTTCTTTCTCTATTTTTTTTTTCTTTTCTTTCTTTTTTTTTCTTTTCTTCTTCATTTGTTTTTTTTTTCTTCTTCTTCTTCCTTCTTCTTCTCTCTTCCTCTCCTTCTCGCGATGTCTCCCCTTTCGCCGCATCTCACCTTCCCAACTATCGCTCACTCCTCCTCCCCACGCAGCCAAGGCTCCTCCCCTCACTCCACTCTCTTGGCCTCGATCCTTACTTAGCTCGGCCTCCTCTCTCACCCGCTCGAACTCAACTCTCTTCCTCTCTCTCTTTTTTTTTCTTTTTTTTTTCCCTTGCGCTATTTCATTATATATATATTTTTTTCTGCTTGGTTTGTTCTCCTTCTCTCTATATTTTTTTCCTAATTAATAATATATATTTTATATTTTTTTTTCTTTTGCACCCAGCTGTTACACCAGCTGGATATTACACTTAATATTCTAAATATTCTTGATCCATAAAAAATTGGCTTATACCATGAGTATTCTTCGAAATTCAACTTCAACACTTGATCTT